GAGAACAAATTAAGAGTCTACAAGCAGCAAACAGTTACTCTGGTAATGCATAAAATTTGAAGAATCAGATACAGCCAGGTGGGAGTTGCAAACCTATTGTCTCAGCTAGTTGGGAGGTCGTGAAAGAGGGCCATATCACATGTTGAAGGAAAGGCTGAACAACACAGTGAGAACCCACTCCAAAAGAAAAAGAAAAAAGGAAAGAAAAGTAAAAGTAAAAGACAAATCAAATAATCAAGCATAAGATACTTCATAAGAGACAATGACTGCTTTAAAATATACCTATGAATGAAATTAATTTATGAAATGGAGTTCAAACATGAAATAAAAATTTAAGAAATATCTACTGTCTTCTCTCTTTAGCTGTTTAAAATTACAATAAATCTGAGTATCACAGATTTAGAAAAAATACACCTAAATTCTAAAGTTTCGTTAACTTTTATCACTTATACACATAATGTGTACTTGTTATCACATTTTAAATAACAGATCAGAGTAAAGGAAAAGAAGTGATGTTCAAAGAGCTAACTCAGAAAGCAAAGTGATGGCAGGAAGAGGAGGTGAAAAATGAACTAACTGGGTCCAGTGGGAGTTGATGTTACCCGCTTTACCAAATGGCCTTTTCAAATCCATACTCCATTTCTCTGCCCTGCTTCATGATTTTAGGAGGCTGAGTTGCATGAGATTCATGAACTATTTTTTCTTCTAGAGACCATACTCTTAAGTGAAATAAATCAGACCTGCATGTGCAAGCACTGCATTGTCTCACTGGTGTAAAACCTGAAAGAGTGAATAAAAACTATGAGGTAGGATAGATGTTGTGAAATGAAAGGAAAATGCTCAAGGGTAAAGGGCAACTGGGATGTGGGAAAAGAGAAGGGAAAGGAGGAGAAATTTTGTATGTATGTATATACAGGATAGTTAACATTGTTGAACTGCTGTCTCCGATTTCTTTGCTTAAAGAAACAGTTAATGATTCCCTGATAGATCAATACTGCATGTCTCTATTTGATTTCCTGAGAAAAGACTTTGAAGATATTAATTTGTAATACAAGAAGCACTGTTAATTTCCTACCACTTTGTATGTAACTCTGTATTGTCTGTACTGTTCTTTTGCCAGTTTGTAAAAGGTGGTCTATTAATGTTTTCCTTCTTTTATTTAAAAAAAATAAAATAATCTTTCTTGCCTTCAGGTTTTCATCACATTGGTTTCAGCTTATGGAAATTACTATAGTTTAGCTCTTGAATGCTACCAAAGGACCCTGTGCTGAGGGCTTCATCCTCAAATTCAGGACCTCACTCCAAAGGGAATATTAGGACTTTGTATTCTCACTCTTCTCACACACACACACACACACACTCTGTCTCTGGCTGTATCTCTGTCTCTTTCTCACTCTGTCTTCCTCTCCCTCACCCTCTCTCTCTTTGCTTCATTGTTTCTATCAGTTGAACAGGACTTCTCTGCTACAAGCTCCCAGCCTGGTGGACTGTGCTACAACAGGCACAAAGAAACAGAAGCCAAGCATCCATTCACTGAAACCCCTGGCAACATGGAAACATGAGATTAAATAAATCTTTTCTAAGTTGACTTTCTCAAGGAATTTTTTTTTGCATTAACAGAAAGCACACACTGCTCCACACACACGTGCACACACACGTGTGCACACACACACACTCAGAAATTGTACCAACAAGTGGAGTATTGCTGTTAATATCAATGGATTCGCAAGACCTTGAATTGGTTGTGAGGGGAGTTTGAAAACAAGAGGAATCTAGAGAAAGCCTAGAATGCAGTAAGTGGAAGTTAAACAAAGTGACATTAATAAGAGAATGCAAAGCTACACAGCACTCAGGCTACAACATGGGCATTGCTGCCTGCTTTTAGTCATATTTCCAGTGAGAACCGCAAGAAAAAGTAGAGCGTACATATTTTAAAACACTTGGAGTTAGGCCCAAAACAGATTGTTTTGATGATACAGTCCAGGTAGGTGCTGCTGTTTAAAAGATTAAAGCCACTGAAAAGAAGCCAAGTATCTGCAACTTGACAGTAGGAAAGACACCTTGAGC